CATTCTGGGTCTACATTATATTAAAGTACTTTAGTTAAAGTTTGAAATCTCGCTAAAGTTTGTTTTGTGGTACCCTTTTACTTATTGACTGACACTTGTGTTCATACTATGGTCATATTATGCTATAAATCTTCATCTGACTACAATGGTTGATAGTACTTACAAATATGGACAACCAAACTGTTTGTTCTCTGTGGAGGAAGGAATGCAGTGTGATGAATGCAAAAAGTGGTTCCATAAGATGTGCACCCGTTTAAGTCCCACCACATACAAAAGATGCTGGAAGCATAACTCGCATTGGCTTTGCATATTTCGCTGTGTAAACAAGACGTTACTAATACAGGAGGCTATTAGCCCATTGGCTTTGGCTTGTAGGAAGAACGATAGCGGTTACGCTGAAAACACGCTCACTGACATTTAAGAGTGTGTCAGTGTACGTGCTGCCGCAAGACGCTTCAAACTAACGACTGTGGTTGACGGAAAGGCGAAATCTCCATTCACATTAACGAGAAGGAAAGTACCACCTGAAATCGACATTGATAATCATGCACCTCAAATGAGAATTGAAGATTCGGATAAAATTGTCACCGTTCCAAATAGTTCTAGTGTCCTGAGGGATAAAAAAATGGACTAAAGTACGGAGAAGACGAAACGAAAAGAAAAAGGCTGTAGGCAGTACGTAGGTAGTTAGCAAGCCATTGGTGGACTGCCAAAGTCTAATAGTAAGAGAGAAACACACCCTGACGTGACTGAGAAGGAGAGTTTAATCTCATCGGATATTACTGTGAGCAAATTGCTGGAGTCAGACGACCTGATCCCAAAACTAGACGCGCTCATGACTTAGAGAAGCCGGGAGAATATATTCGTGCTATCTTACCAGATAAAAGAGTTCGGGTCGAAAAACTGGTTAGAATAGATAAGAGGACCGAGGACAACGTTGAACCCCGACCGTGCAGACTCCTTAAGGTAATCCTAGGATCGGAGAAGCAACATGATCTCTTGTTATGCAGCGCTCGTAGTCACGACAATTCCGACATCCGAGTTAGACCTGATATGTCTCTTGAAGATAGAATAAAAAGGAAGAAAGCACTAGCTGAACTACAAACCAGTCGACAAAGCGGTGAGGAAAATCTCCGGTTAGTGGGTTTTCGAAAAGTCAGGTCTTGGAAGCGAATGCTACCTAGGTCTGTGTGGATAGGCCGTTCTACCTAGGAGTTTTATATGCTAACGCTCGTGGTCTAAGAAATAAGTTCTATGAACCAGAAGAATTGGTGGACAAATTAATGTCACTCATTGTAGCAGTGACAGAAACTTGGTTAGTCCATGACTTAGACATTACTCCAGAAATATCGGGATACCATTACCTAAGGAGTGATAGATATAGATGTAGAAAGGGTGGCCTCCTTTTATATATAGCCAATAATATAAATATCCGCTCCTCTGCTAGCGAATCCCATGATAGCGGTACTTGTGAAATCATCAGCTGTAAATTGGCTATCGGATATATTACATGTATGCTCGGTGTCATCTATCGCAGCCTAATCTACTTAGCTGATGACTTTACTTTAGAGCACATTCAACTATGGAGTGCAAATAACAGATACTTGATAATAGGAAACTTTAATGCACCTGACATTAGTTGGGCTGAGATGACCAGGGAAGGATCTATAAACTCCTTTGACAGCAGGTTTCTGATAACAATAATAGAGCATACGTTAGTGCAACATGTATCCAAACCCACACGTTTTGGTGCTAACCAAGGCTCTTCTCTGTCGGACTTGGTAATCACTCATGAGACTGAGGATATTGTCGACCTAAATATTTTTTCACCGTTAGTGAACAGCGATCACGCTGTTTTGTTATTCACGTTTAGAACTAGGGACATGATATACAATCGGTTACACCCCGCCCAAATGTATGGAAAGCTAACATATCAGCCATTCAGGAATGCACTGCTAAGACAGGTTGGTTAGTATATACTAGCTTATCAGTTGAAGAAGCATGGTCTGTATCAAAAGGTAAGTTTAGTTTAGTTACGTCCTCATTCATACCATACCTGGTACTGCGAAGACCGAATAACAGTCCACCATGGATAGCTAAACCAGTCAGGAAACTTCTTAGAAGAAGGAAGAAGCACTGAGATATGTTCATTTCCACTGGCTTAGAACAATACAGGTCTAGTTATTGTGAGATTAGGAATGCCTGTAAAGCGTTAATAAGTAAGACTAGACTATCATACGAAAAACAATTGGTTAGGGATTCTAGATATAGTCCGAAACGGTTATTCTCGTATATAAAAAGGCGAACTAAGAGAAGCGATCGAATTCCATCACTTTTGATACGAGATAATCCATTAATCTTAGCAGAGAATGATGCCGAAAAAGCTGAAGTTTTATCGGAATATTTTAGTAAAGTGTTTTCTATCGGTAATGAGGAACGACCAATGATTCATCGCGACCGTGACGGCTCGCTGATGGATCCTGTAGTCATTGAGAAAAATACTGTTTTAAGGCTACTTCAGCATCTCAAACCTGATAAGTCCAGTGGTCCTGATGATATTCATCCTAGGATTATGAAAGCCATATCAGATGAAATTGCTGAAGCACTAACGATACTATTCGACATGTCTCTGAGACAGTCCAGACTTCCTAGAGACTGGAAAGATGCCATAATAAGTCCGGTGTATAAGGCTGGGAGTAGGGATTTAGTTAGTAACTATAGGCCCGTTAGCTTAACTAGTGCAGTTGTAAAACTGATGGAGAGAATCACTCGGATATCTGTTATAAACTATGTTGAAGGGCATAATCTTTTCTCCAGGGAACGACATGGTTTTCGGAGAGGCCTATCATGCTTGACAAATCATCTCATTGCAAGAGAAGATTGGGCTGCTGCAAAAGATCAGAATATTCCTGTGGATGTGATCTTCATAGACATAAGTAAGGCCTTCGATAAAATCTCCCACTCTGGTCTTAAATTCAAACTGGAACGTTTTGGAATCCATTGTACAGTCGTAGATTGGATAAGTAACTTTTTCCATGACAGGAGACAAAGGGTAGGGGTAAAAAATGGAGTTCCCTCGGTCCTCTTCTCTTTTTACTTTATGTAAATGAATTACCAACGATAGCGAAATCCTCCGTTCTACTCTTCGCTGATGACATAAAGATTTGGAGACCCATACACAGTATGTCGGATAGAATAGTATAACAGGATGATCGTAGCTCATTGATGGCATGGTTGTACAGGTGGTCACTAGAAGTAAATCCTAATAAGTGTGGTGATGCAATGAAATAACTATGATGAATCGTATCACTATACAATATGTGGATTTGTGCTACCCAAAGTAAGGAACTAGTGTGGTGGACCAGATAAATATGAACGTGAAAAAGTATTAATCAAATTATAAAGAGTAAATAATAATGTTAATAGTTATTGATACAACATAAGAATATGGACTTTACTTAAATTCACCAAGTGTTGCGTGTTCTGATGGGGTCTGGTATTGTAAATCCACAATTATAATGTCCGATAATTCCGTACAGGTTATTGAACTCTCCAATAATGTAATCCACTGATGATGTCACAGGTATTCAGTGTTTGACAACGCTTCTACCAGTAACACCTTCTAATATGATTTGTACCCACCGAGAGAAATCTAAAGACAGAGTCGAGGAGATCGGAAGAGTGTATTTGGCGATAACCAAAATATCGGAATTCTCTGATCTAATCTGGCTAGCGATTGCGGTTGATGTTGAACACGGCGTTGCCACACGTGATCTGGTGCGGATGCCTGACCGAGCGCCTTCAGCTACATGAGTCCACTAAAACATATGGTCAGCATCCAATGTCGAAAACTTACAGGGCTATTTATTTTGGGGATTTATTTACCGCTACACCACTGTTATGTGCGATGTGTCTCAGCTCACAGTCTATAAATGTGAATAATGTTCAATTTAGGATGCAATTAGCTCAATAACGAGTGAGAGTAGAACAAGGAGTGTGCGTGTATGGCAGTGCATTTAAGAACAACCACAAGTGTGTCACGTTATGTAGTTACACAATGGAAAGTGTGTTCAAGGTCATTCACTAAAACAACAGTTACAGTCATTTCATGTTAAATATACATACAATGAAAGATTGGAGAAATAAATACAAATAATATTAAAAACTATTTACAAAATAGGCTTGCCAGGCCTATCTTCACAATAGAAAGATTTAGGAGTCATATTAAGCAGTGACCTATAAAACCACTAGTCACTTTAAGGCTGCTGATGTGAAAGGTTATAGGGTATTATGGTCTATTCGTAGGACTTTCCAGTATTTAGATGATGAAATGTTTAGGTTATTATACCCGATTTTACGTTAATCGGATTCAAGCAGCGAGTCCTTGTTTCGAGTATAAAGCAGATATGCTAGAAAGAGTCCAACGACGAGGTAATAAGATGGTAAAAGGTCTACCTAGCCTATCTTATAATGACAGACTGAGACACCCTAACTTATTTCCGTTATCTTACCGTAGAATATAGTAGAATAATAATAGAATAATATTGGCTTGTCGTATACTGGACGACGACCTTGATATGAACATGTCTTATCTTTTACTTCCGTCTAGGACTGGTTATTTGAGAGACATTCGAAGAAAGTTCAAAAACCGAGATCAAATCGTTTACGTCTGGAGTTTCGTTTCTTTCATCGAGTAGTGAATTACTGGAATTCTCTACCGGAACACGTAATATCAACACCTTCTGTTGATATATCCAAATTCAGATTGGACTTCCACAGTATTACTGTAGACTGAATATTGGACACCTTTTGCCTGGCTTATTCGTTTTACCTGTCTGACCTTGGCAGTCGTTCCTTTCTTGTTGTGACAAGTAATTCCAAGCCTTTTGCTGAATTCAACACGTCGTGTCACGTCATTCGCACACTATAACTTTCAGTAGCCTGGTGGTTAGATTAGCCTCACTGGAAGTTGCTAAATATTTAAAACATTGTTCGTAAAAATGAGTACAAATTGTAGGCAAGGGAAAGTCGAGGTTAGTGGTAAGTATTAATGTATGCCAAACATTTTTCTATGAATCATTTTGAAAAAACATTAAGATCACTCGCTATTATCTGAATTTAATCAAGATGTTTGTCTTCAGCTTATTAATGGTCAGAAGGTCGGAAAGGGTATGTTTACATTCTGCTCATTAAATTTAAATATTTTCCAAATTCTCAAGATTCTCAAGCCCAAAGTCACAGTATTTTGAGTAATTATTTCACTGAAGAAATAAATTCGGACGATCCATTCGGTTCTGTTTGTGGCTCAAGTCCTAATGAGTTGGTAAGAGGGGTCAGTTTCGTAATTCATTTTTACACTTCGTTGAAAAGTTATTACAATGGGGTTTTCAATTTTTGATTTTGGCATTTGCGGACAGACTTGTATAATGAACAACAGTTCATTACTGTTGTATAATAACTAGTAACTTGACCTGGTTACTGGTATTCGGTTACATGGGAAAAATTCTGAACCTGGTAATCAGTAATTAAAAAACGGGAACATGGTCTTTCTTCCAAGTGTAGGTCATGAGGTAACAGCAGCTTTATCGACCACTATGTTTTTTGTAGAAACTCAATAATAATCTGAGGTAAATTTATCGACATTCAAAACCAGCTCTTGATGATTTTTTACTTTCTCTTGAATTTTGGGTTCTTGTAAAAGGGTTTCCATTAATTTGGGTGGAAACGTATTAAAAACTTGGCTACATCAGCTGTTTTTGAACCATCTCAACTCAGCTTCAATCCCATATACTACTTGGCTGGACTCTATAGTTTGTTTATCAACATATCACAGATAAAATATCCAAGTCACTCACTAAAAAGTTTTGTGAGGTAGCAATGTACAATATAAGGTGTTTTTATGAGAACTTAAAGTCAACAATTAGGAAAGGTATCTCAACAATAAAGGTGTTTATCTCCGGGCTCTTAATTCATTATAACGATTTGGAAACTGGATAAATGGAACTTTTTTACTGGTCTTTTTTTTATTGGGTCTTCAACTTTTGCCAATACTTTTTAAAAAATTGTGATCATTACCTGTTTTAGGGAAGCACATATCCACCAAAGTTACTAAACAACTACCAACGTGGCAACTGTGTCAGCTTGGATTGTCATACCACATTAGTACAAGATAAAATTTGAAAGATGGATAACAAGAGTTCAAGTAGTGTAGTAGCGAATGTCCGGCGCTTTAACGGGGTTGGTGGGTACGGAGGATTCACCCAGAGAAGTTGGAAAATCCTGATTTCAAATCAGTGGTGCATACGGGCTCTAGGATCCTAAGGAAACAAACGACGTATGAACCTATTGTTGATTACCGGCTACCATGGAACTTCATCTGACGTCCCACTGCCTTGTGAATTAGACCGTCGGATCAAGGGCTCGGGGAGTGTTTCCTAAAGAAAGCCACCTGCTTCGGTTTGGGCACTCGGACAGTATCCCAGCCCTCACACATCGAATGGTTTATGTGGCGCATATCTGTTTGATGCCTCTTTGTACTAATGTTTGTGTGTTTAAATAAATAAATAAAAATAACAGCGCTAATCATAGAAACTAGATACTAAATATATGGTTTGGATAGACTCGATACGAGAGTACTTAAAATCGAGATCTAGAGTAGGATAAAGAATGAATGCATTTGATAATATCATGAAACATCAACAACTAGTTTCAGATGTCTCGCGCACCCCAAACAGGTAATCTGAGTCTACGAACATGGTTCAAATCGGTAAGTCAGTCATATACAACATAGAACCCGACACATATATGCATCGGTCGAAGTCGCCACACAACATTAGCACAGCGTGTTAGAGTGATCAAGACATCTTACTGTAGTAGAAAAAGTGACAGTATAAGTAATATTAGTGGTAGTCGTATTAGTAGCAATAGAAAAGATTAAGCATCCCCACAAAGAAAAACATCTAAGGAAGTCTCAGGTCCTAGGGCCTGAGAGAGAACAGAGTGAATGCATCTGAGTCACTACAAACTATTTGAAGCCACAAAACCCAAAGTATCTAAGTATTGGTTACTACATTCACTCGGATCTCAACCAGGTACTCTACATCTACCTACAAAGCTCAATCTGACAGTCAGCGACTTCATGGACTGGTCTTATATCTTGGTTTGGCCACCCCTAGCATTCTTCCAACCTACTGTTACACCAGTAAATATGTCATGCTTTTAGAGGTAACACTTTCCTCATCCGAATTTCCAGGGGTTGAACTTCTACCAGGAGATTCACTTGTTGACTTAGAATATACCGATGACATAGTTCTGTTTGTTGAAGACGCCGACAAAATACAGAATCTTCTGACCAATCTAAGCAACAATGCAAGCATGGTTGGGATGCGATTATCTCCCTCGAAATGCAGAATGTTGCTTCAGGATTGGGTTGCATCGACACCCGAACTAATGATAGCGAGTGAAGTAGTCAGGCGTGTCGACCGCTTCACTTATCTTGGGAGTCTCATCAGCCTTTGTGGTCTGGTGTGTGACGAAATCTCAGCACGGATACAGAAGACTCGACTAGCTTTTGCCAACTTGTGTCATTTATAGCATAGGCGAGATATCCGCCCACTAACCAAAGGATGGGTTTACTGCGCAGCAGTTCGTTCTGTCCTACTTTATGGCTATGAAACATGGCCGGTAAGAGTAGAGGATATTCGTAGGTTACTAGTATTCGATCATAAATGTCATCGAGGCATTGCTCGTATATCCTGAGACCACCTGATAACTAATGTAGTTGTTAGGAAACGGGTACTAGGTAAGGATGACGAATCAATTGATGAAGTAGTGGAACTTCATCAGTTGAGATGGCTGGGACACGTCTTACGTATGCCCGACCACCGACTGCCCGAAGTGCGATGTTTTATGGTGTAGGAGTAGATTGGAAGAAAGCTAAGGGCGGCCAGACCAAAACATGGCACAAATCCGTGAAGACACTGACAAGTGGGCTGAGCCATGTTCATAGGTGTAGACTACTTGATTGGGGTCCGCGAGATGATAGCAACCGATGGTTAAAGATCCTGAGTGACATAGCTCAAAATCGTTTGCAATGGCGCAGGTGCACCCACTCTTTGTGTTCACCCAAAGTCTAATCTCCTGAATTCTTCATGTCCCTTTCTTTTTTCTCTTCCCAAATTTATTTCACTGAATTGTACTCCTTGGATGACATCTTCAAATCCTAATGTTTCCGATTACTGCTTATACTTTTACTACCTCCACCACTTTAGGACTTGAATCGACAATTGTGTCTGTGTGCTAATGTGGTATGGCGACTTGAACTGATGTACGTACGTAAGAAGTTCTACGTTGTTACTGACTGACTGAGTAAACATGTTAAGGTATGCAGTGAGTGGTCGGGAATACGTAATGCATATCCCAACCGCTTCGGTTGGCAAAGATTCACTACCTTATCAATCAGTTTGTTATCGCTACCTGGTACTCTGCGTCTAACCTCAGCGTTGCTTACTCGGTGGTCCCAAAGTGCACAGATAATGCTTCAGGAATACCTATGATCGAATGCTAGTACCCTACGAATATCCCTTGTTCTTAATAGCTCCTCATCGTGTTTGAAACCTATAAGGATACGTTTTCCAGTATCTATCAATTAAGTAGATCCCATCAGTATCCAGTGGTTTTTCAACCCATTTGTTTAAGTCACTGGTAGATATCACTGCTGTTTGTATATCATGCTAAGCCACATCTGAATGATCATTACTCTCATAATTCACTAGCTGTTTTTCTAGTTGTCTCTGAAATATACTTTGCGGGTATCGTCGTTAAACTGAACTGTGATCAGTCCTTCTTTTGAGACTACTGCGTACCGTAAAATGCACTAGAGTATGATTAAAGTCCAAATATATGCTTCAGAATGAGTCGGTCTTCTATTGAGCTTCTCTAACAGAGGCTGATTGCAATGTATTCTATTCGGGTCTACCGTTGGGTCGGTTGCCGTATCAGACGAATGCGTATATCGTGCTCATAGTTGGTGCTTGCTAGAAATAAACAATTGTCCGAGGATAGCTGCAGCAACCAGTCACCATTATATGTTTGGTTTACTCACTCAATCTTTCCTATTTTTTTCACGGAATTTCCTCAGATTAGCCCTTTTATTTGACTACTTAGTTATCAATGTGCTTATGCAGTTTCTAATTCTTGTTTTAGTGTTAATGATACTGGGGCTTATAGGAAAGGGAAACAACAAATATTTGTTACATAGTATTAAAGTTTACTCGTATACAGACATGTATACGCCATGATTTCTCTCCACCTATCTAACAGCTTTACGCTATTTTCATAGCCCAAATCATCTATCAATACTGACCTATCAAAGTGCTCTCAGTTGGATTCTAAACAAGATGTAACGAGTTTGAACCGTCTAAGGCAACGAGATGCTTGGTTACCCTCTGAATCTACTCAAAAAGCATTATTGAGCCCGAGTCCCGAAAACAAGTTAGTTGAGGTAAAACCTATTCTCATGGGCAAAGATTACGAGATTGGCAGTAATGATAGCACTTCTGCTTTTGATCCATTCCATTATTTGTTGGCTCAGTATACGGGTGATGAACCAAACGTTAATGCAGTCCAACGGGTTCCATCTGTTGAACTGAGGAGTCAAAGTGGTGATGATCTCAAAAAATTAATTGTAAGTTGTTAACTCTTCAATGGGGTACATATCACAATTCAGTTATTAAAGATTCCCATTGTGAAAATCAGAACAACACATATAAGCCAACAATTGTTTTCAATTAGATCGTCATCAGGCTTTACTCTAATATACATGAATATTTATACGAAAATGTTAAATCAATCAAGGCAATATGGGTCAATAATCACAATGAAATATAATAACTCTACACATAATAGGTAAAAGTACAAGTTGATAGTAGGAAGACAGGTGAACTGATAATAGTGAGAATAATAAAATACAATAACAAAACTCTTATCAATAGTTAAACGTTGGAAATAGAATGTCAAACATGGGTAAATAGACTAGGAATAGTAATCACAAAACATTAAAATCATTACGTATTAAGAAGTGTGTAAATAATTAGATAGTGAAGAATACAAACGGCAAGAATCGGAAAATTACAAACAAATACTAGATGTGAAAATAAGGCTAATGATAACAAAGATAGAATAAAATAAATAAATAAGCGATAATAATAAAAAAAACCCATTTCGAGTGATCTATCGTATACCTCCATCATTTCCCAACGAAGTTCATTCCCTCCTCCTACATATAGCTGAAGCCATAGGATTTCGTACATATAACCCCAATTTATGTGTACTGAAGAAATTCGTAACCCCCCTACCCCTTCCATGACCAGTTAACGATTTTTTCTAATTATTATTGTTCTTATTTATTTATTTTATTCTATCTTTGTTATCATTAGCCTTATTTTCACATCTAGTATTTGTTTGTAATTTTCCGATTCTTGCCGTTTGTATTCTTCACTATCTAATTATTTACACATTTCTTATTACGTAATGATTTTAATGTTTTGTGATTACTATTCCAAGTCTATTTACCCACGTTTGACCTTCTATTTCCAATTTTTAACTATTAATAAGACTTTTGTTATCGTATTTAAGATTATTCTTACTATTATCAGTACACCTGTCTTCCTACTATCAACTTGTATTTTTACTTATTATGTGTGGTGACCTATTATATTTCATTGTGATTATTGACCCATATTGCCTTGATTGATTTAACATTTTCGTATAAACAATTCAGTTAGCAATTGCATTATCTTAAGGATAGCCTATATGCACATTTTGATCTTTCTATGACGCTAGTCTACCTCTAATAAGTTTGTCTGATTCCTACATCTATTATATCAAGAGTGGATCTGATATTTGATAATTAAGATTTATTAACAACTTGATATCTACTACTTTTAATGTGTCACCTATCAAAAGCGAACTATACTATATCATTGAGTTATCATTCTGCTTTATTGACAGTAGTTACCCTGGCTTGTAGATATTCTTTACAAAGGGCTACGTGTTCCAGAAGCTCTGTGAATGCGTTTCCTTGTAAGGTATACTTAGTGTTTAGTAGCTAAATAAACTGCTAATAATTCTTTGCTAGTTCTGTTGTAGGACTTCTCGGTGGGAACAGATTATCGTTATTTATCATGCAATTCCTGTCGTAGTATTTATCCGACAACAATATTTCATGCGTCTCAACAAAAATAAGAATACTTTGACGTCGCTACAAACAAAAACGAATTTTTCGTCCACAAACTGTTTGGTTTCAAATGACTTTATGTATATATGCTCATATATAATATTATATGTATTTGGGTGAGGTTTTAATTTGAATGAAATTCCTCTCCAGCTAATCGCTATGTTTCAGCTTTCTGTTTGTGGAACATTTGGTTGACTTCTGGGCCTAAACTTCATCCCACATACTTATGTTTGGGTGACCTCATAGTATTATTAGCCCTGGCTCACAGTAGATAACTCAAAACTGCATACACGTACTTCTGTCTCATTACTAAATTAAATCGAAGTTCTTTATTGTCTTAACGTATAATACACTAGGTGTTTATAACATTGAAAATTCAAGAATCCACCATCTCCATCTGTTTCTTTTCTCTCTTAGAACAATGGATGGTATACTTGTGCACTGAATCTTACTTATCGTATTCTTTCAGCTGCTGGTTTTAAAAATGACGAAAGTGAAGCCGTTTTATCTCCATATACTGCTCAGGTAAACGTTGTGCTATTGTTGTACCATAGATTACTTTAACGTGTAAATATATCATCTATTAAAAATTATTTGAATTGTAAAATATCACTGGATTAAAATATATTTATTGTATGTATTTTGTTTATTCTTGATCAATTCGGCTTCAATTTAGATTGATCGTTAATGACTAGTTTTTTATTTCCTCTGATATATGGTTTTGTTTCATTGCATATTCACCGAATAACTCAATTTATCATTTTTATTTATTATAAGTTTCAACTAACATTCCCTTTTATTTTGCCTCCTCTCTGTCAACTGGATCATATAATAGCCGATTAATTATATAAGTGTGCTTTTTCATATTATTGAAATAGAAATTTGTATATTTAATATATATATATATATATATATATATATATATATATATATATATATATATATATATATATATATATATATTGGTTGTCTAAATCTTCCTATTGATGTTTAAGACTTAAGTTGATCAATCTTTTCGGTGTATGCTACTTATGTCCATCGACATAAGTATTATATAACACCAATCTGAAGTGGAAGCCCTGGCAGTAGAAGACTAAGAAGATCAAGCTGAAGAGAATAAAAAAAGGGAAATAGAAAGGAGTTACGAATAGTAAGAATCATATTTTACAAAGACATTTTGTAATTTCTTATTGAAACACGATTAGTTGTTCCCTATTTGTGTTCTCGTTCACAACATATGTGCATCCTGTGCGGGTTGCCTTTATATTCCTGGGAAGTCATAAACATACAAAGCATAAACGGAGATGGATGGCGACTAGCAGTGGAACCCAGGACGCGTGTTTTGTCCTATTTGGGACTCGTCAGCTGGGTGTACCTGCATGTTAGAGTCGGTGTTCGCTCCAAGACTCGAACCCATCACTTTCAGGACTGATCAATTGCAGTGCTGAACATCGATGGGAAGATCGAAACAACCAATGTATATATGAATGAGAATCAAAATTCACCCCATTGCTCAAACCATAGGCTATCTGGACTCAGTCGTCAACTGGATGATAACACGATAGCGATGGAAGCGAAAGGCACCGGTTCGAGTCACGGGATGAACATGAACATCCCTCTGACGAGTCCCAAATGGAACGAAATACGCATCTCGAACCCCACTGCTAGCCACCATCCACCTCTTTAGAAATCTGTATGCTTCTTTATCTCATAAATTTACATGCATTCTTAGCTAGCATATGCTTAGTTCAATCTTCCTTGTATCTTTTCACTCTTTGGGGCCGTATTTTTTGCTTGTTTGTTTTTTCATGTTTTTCCTTCTTATGGTTAGATAATGGTGTGGTAGTTTTGTGGATAAAAGACACTATTATCAGGCACTAGACTTCAGATTTGAGCCTATCAAACATTTGATTTCGGCTGTCTAGTAGTATCTTTGGTCTTCGGAAAGTTATTTGATTTTTTATGTGCCATATGCCACTCTTATTAACGAGTGGATTCTAAGTTTGTTACAGAAAACCTTCGTTACACAACATTAATCTAGTATCAAAGTAAATAATCTCAACTCAAAACCCTTGACTAAATAGACATATTTATAGTCTTGAGTTGATAGATAATATCGCTTTATTGTTCTTTGGCGTACAAGTCACCCAAACTCCACGTCATCAGCTGATAATCGCCGCCCGCAAAAATTGCATTTGCACAATCGAAATATATTTTTAGTCAGCCATAGGCAATGTGGGACGTGATACAATTATGTATCGGTGCAAGTCACCATATCTCAAGTGAACATATTCAAATGGAATTAACAAAATTTATGGTATAAAAGTTGAGATAATATCATTGCTAGTGAATACTAAGTGTATGAAGTATAGTTAACAAGAAACTACTTGATTTAAAGACTCAATGAAATGAAATAATATTAAAACCCAATATGTAGAGAGGAAGATAGAGAGTGAGGACAACTATGCCGCGTTGACTGATTTTAAGCAATTATTTAGGGATTTCCACTACAGTTTACTATTATTTCACGAAGTGTATATTTCACACATCTCAAACCAGCGGTCTCCGATTTTATAGATTAGTACCATGTACTCAATTGAGGCTCCAACGATAACCAAAGTTATCAAATTAACAATTTCACTACTTGTTTTCAGGTTAAGCATGAACACAAGTTCCTTCTGAACCAATATTTTAGATTTACAGTATGGGGTTGAGGTCATTGACACAGCCGTCGAGTGCTTCCAAGTTTTCAATGAGTGTTCTAACATTTATCGGTTCATAATTTCAATGAAGTTTTAGATTTAATGAGTCTCCTTCAAGAGTTTCTGACAGTTAGGTTAAAATAGATAAGTTGGACAGCCATGACAAATAACACTTGATGCAAGCAATTCCACTGGTACGACTTATATCATTTTCATAAAGGATCTTTAATAGATTGACTCACTTTATTGACAATTCTTCCGATGAAACACTGTCGAAAGCTGTTATTTCCACCAACCTGGCGAGAACATTTGCCTTCAATCATCTTCGATAGTGGGGCTATGAAAATAATGTAAAGGTTCATATATCTGGATAGTCGTTTGACTGTCAATAATAGTAAGGAGAACAAATTCAATCATTCTAAAACATTTTAAGACTTCTTTTTGCAATCTGAACCATATATTGCATCATCATTTTTGTTGTATGGTCGTAAAAGATATGGTGTGTATTACTACGGAATGTTCAGTTATATTTCATACTTGCAAATATGGTCTCTTTTGGCTGAAAGCCTTTGATAGCGGTGTATGTGATCACTATCTCCGAAGAATTTATTTCATTCAGTGATAATAATGTATAAAAAATCATGAGGTATGACATGTGTTTGGAGTCAATTTAGTCCATCATTCATCTGATTAATTCATTTTTATATGCTTACGGTGATGACCTGAGCGCGTGTCACTCATTTTGTTCAAATTACTGCCATACTATGCGTTGTCTACTGATTGGGGCTAGTGACTTGGTTCAGCTGAACGACTGATAGTTGTGTAACAAGCCAATGTGTTGTGAATAAATAACGACATATGACTTGGGAATTCTTGAATTACAAGATAGATCGCATATTTTTCTTTATGTATTAATTTTATGAAAATAATAATTAACCACTACTGTTCTTGTTGATTGCTTGTTTTAGATTTGGTTGTGTCGACTGGCCTTATTAGTTCGTACACAAAATTATAAATTGGCTGAACATGAATTCGCTACTTTTCATAACATGGAAGCACCGAATTTCTATTTTGAATATTCTCCCCAAAGATATCCTGGACGGACAGGTACTGAAGTATATATATATATATATATATATATATATATATATATATATATATATATATATATATAAATGATTCAGTCGCAGAGCTTTCAATTCCATTCTTGACATCTTAAGCGCCTATTTCATGTGGAAGTTACTTCACAGGTGCTATGTCAGCTCGTCCTGATGGCTTTGTTTGTGATTGGCTGTCTTGGTTGATTTTTCTGTTTTCACTTGCTCTCGGTTTTCTGTTCGACTATCTTTGCCGTTGATCTCTAACCTTGTGATTGATTTCGTCGTTTCTCTAATAGTCTCTATATACATAATCATTTGCATGCACTGATATTATCAATAATATATCGTATCACCTTACTGTTTATTTATGCGTAGGTGAAGGGGGCGTCCACTTTCTTTAATATATTCTTCACAGTATAACTTATATTGTAGAAGGTATTGAGTTTTCCTCCTTTTACTGTTGTCTTTTGGCGTCCATAGTGTGTGCTTTTCCTAAATTTTTCATGTGTTGAGAGTGCTGCAGTTGGCTTAGACTCTTTTGGTCAGTGTCTGGATACAACTGTTAGCATGCTGCCAGATTGTTACTGTTGTAGCTTAATTTTCGAATTGTATGACTTGGTTCCCTGTATACTTGTTTTTCTCTGTTGATTAGAACGTCCAGGAATAATATTTTGTTTCCCATATCCTTTGTAATTGTAACATTATCGAATATGTTGTCGGTTAACTTATGAGTATTCTTAGGTTTGTTACTTTTGAAGATAACAAATTTGTTATCTGTATAACGTATTCAAATCTTTGGCTTGATCATTGACAAAGTTGTAGCTTCAAATCTTTTCACTACAGCTTCTGTGATTTGTGAAGCAAATCTCCGGTGCTTTAACCGGATTCCAAACCAATAGTGCACATGGGCTCCAGTATCCTGCAGGAACAAATGGCGTATGAACCAATTGTTGGTCACCGGCTTCCATGGGACTGCATCTCCTCACGATGCTCCACTGCCTTGTGGATCAGGCCTTCAGGTCTAAGGCTCGGGGAGTGGCCCCCTAAGAAAACCACCTGCTTCGGTTTGGGCACTCGGGCAGTATCACAGCCCTCACACATATCGAATGAGATTTGTGTGGCACATATGTATTTGGTGCCTCCTTGTACCAATATCTATGTGTTAAAATAATAATAATAATCTGTGATTGGTCCTGATATAAGGCACTTCATGGTAGTCTTTTTATTTTTCAGTAAATCTGACTACTGAATTGGAAGTATGTTCAAGAAACAGATCTCTGAATTCTGTCAATTTTGAGCACTATATTTTCGTGTTCTATGAGTTGTTCATCGTTGCTGAGAAGTCCTGATATTGTATTTGTAATGAGCTTCGCTCTTATTAAAGTGAAATGAACCGCAAAATCCAAGAGCATTGTTACTTCGTCGTTGGTCAGTTGTAAATTTTTTATCTTGTTTCAGAACTGTGTTGAGAAGTTGACCGAATGATTGTACAATCCAGTCAGATGTTCTACTATCGTGTAGAGTTTTTTTAGCATATGGTAGGTTGGTGTCTCTGGTGTTGACATAGATTGTACATTGGGTTTGTGCAACTTCGGTCTTCTGTAAAATCAAGGAAAATAAGTCCATCATATCTTCTTCGTCACTGGTGTTGGTTTGTAGTTTATCCGCCTTTGACGAGTTCTCCTAGAGTTTTATTCATTAGACTGTCTATTCTTTAATAGAATTTTACACTAGTGCTTCGTATGCATTGTTATCTTTGATTAGGTCCTCAGCTTTCTGAATGTAATTTTCTACATTCATAAATACTGTTGTCCATCGTTTGTCTCCTGGTACGATGAAGATGTTCTTTTCAGTCTTTTTTTAAACTTTTTGCTTCTCTGTAATATGTGTGGAGTTAAGCTGATATGAAATTTTTGGACTAGCTCACCTCTACATGAAGTGGACACTAAAGATCTTGTTAACAATAAGCTCAGAGAACACAACTCCACCAAAACCACTGACCTGAGCTGCGAATCTCCGTCATTCCAATATATATGTGTATGCTACATTTGCGTTGTTTTTCGTTTTATATTATTTTGCCGTTTAAATTCGATAGGAATGAATTTTTATCGGTTTCAAATCTGCACAATGGCAATTAATGTAGCTCATTAACGAGGCACATATTCACGTAAAGGGTTTTTCTGTCACAGTTTCTATATAACGCTATCCAACTGTCCAGTGGGGTAGCTGGGGTGAAGTTCGAACCTTTAGTTTGTTAACTGAAATCTAAGTGCTTTAATAAATAGGTTACCACTCCCTATTCAATTCATAACAGGTAAGTAACTGGCATGATTTCTCAACTCATCTGCAGGTTAAAATTGTTATCATTTGGTGCTTATCTAAAATAATTGTATTTCAGCATACTGTACCACATTATGAGATAATCTCAGTCTTTTTAGCTCGTTGATGTATCAACAGACTATATCCGCTATCAATGCTGTTAAAGTAGTATTTTTTAATTGTACTCACTCTTTCGGAACTATTGTTTTATTTGGACCCTGTACGTTCAATGATGTCTTTGGTTCTAGTCAAAAACACCTTACTCACCCTTAGTGCTACTAACATGAAATTGCTGTTGAGCATGAGCGATACTACGTTTGGTACTTGAATAATTTGGTTTGATTTTAATAGTCTGGTTGATGAATCATATCAGTTGTAATCCTAATAATTCCAGTCATCTTCATGTTTTACCATATGAGTTTGAATTATTCTCGTGGTACGTTCTTGATTGTTTGCTCAGTCATGAGTAAATTGTAATCACTTAATTAACTCTAATTCTAACTCACACAATATTAATCAAATACAAAATATTACCAAATGTCAATTTGCGGAAATGTTTTGAAAATATTGTACTACTCACGTTCTAGACGCGATTGTGAACAGAGTTCATAGATCGTTATCATTCGCTTGAACGCAAAGACTAGTGCTGTTGAAGTGAATCTATATCACTTGTGCTTTTGTACTTTTTATTACTTTAAAACTGCACTTTTGATCATTTTTGTTTTCCCTCCTCTTAGGTTCTATCATTCCATTTTCTTTAAGACTACTTCATGCTGAATTACCATTTAATTTAAATCGTACAAATGAAGCATTAGATCGTCTATATTACTTATTAGCTATTATTGGTCGAGTACGTTTATTTGCAATTGGTGGAAATTGTTTGATAAAGTGCTACTTATTTTAGTCTTTATTGTTGACCCCTTAACCATGCTTCGACTTAAAGTCTAGTAATAACAACCGTATTTACTTTTATTTCACCGTGCAGTATCTCTACATTCCTCATACATTAGATGGATAAGTACACATACGTGTGTATATAATTACTGTGTCAGAAATACACCACGTCAAAGGAACTTACAATATCATGACGAATTAGAGAGATACAATTCAAAAACGTAAATAAGATATACCGAATAATCGAATTCGATAAAGAACAAAACCAAGGTAGATTTCATTTATTTACAAGTCTTACTGTTTGTAATAAGACTAGCAGAAACCTTCAGGAAACTCGTCAGGTTCATTTTGAGTCATACCTGATGACACCTCAAGTCACTGAGTTGCACGGTATCTAAGACCTTGCCTATGTATTCACGATAAATCTATAAGTATCGGCCCAGTACATCAACCTTTCTTCCTGCGGTTCTCTATCGTAAACTGGTTGTTTCAGGTTTTTAGTGTCAGGAAAATAATGTGTGGTTTGAATAACATTTGGAGGGGCAGCATGCATGAAACGTATCTAGGCGGCCGAATAGGGTGTTTCAAGATTATAATTATTTGAGAAATTATATATGGTATACTATAAATGTTACTGGATCTCGGCATTACTTACACAGTAGTGAAATCGTATATATATAGTCCTTCGAAGATAACGATGACTGATTACAGAATACTCGCCGAAAATCATCTCAAAGAGTCTAGTTGTCCGAATCATAATACGAAATTGCTCTCATTAGCTAGACTATCGAAAATTTTGATATAGACCTTGCAACCCTGTTTACTACATGATTTGTTGATTATTTCCGAGAATGTGACCACTAAATTTGTCCACAAGCAGTCAAAATACCCACCCATTGTTAGAAGTCATTTGTGATCTAACTGGAGCAATGTCCAAATTATAAAAAGGTTTATACTGTTTAAATGTATGCGTGTAAACCTATTGGTATTAATCACTTAAGTAATTCATTTTCTCAAACCGTCAAGTATGTATTTGAATCACTACCAGTTTAGTTTGAATGACTAAGTCTTTTTATTAAAAAGTTGTACACTTGGCCGGCATTTAGTCTTTGACACGATTTAGAATCTTGGTTAGTGAGAAATGATTTTACTGAAGGAAGAGTATAAGTTCATCAAAAATTCACTCTGTTGAACCTTGCTGGCTAAATATATTACAACCACATCTTCAAATTCACTTGGTATTGTTTACCTGAGTCTTCCCATTGATGTTTAAGAGTGCAATTGACCAGTCTCTTATTGGCATATATCCATACTGTGTGTATTGCCTTAATACACAAATATTATAAGCAAAGATGGTTAGTGGCTAGTAGTGGAACGCATGACTCGCGTTTCGTCCTATTTGGGACTCGTCAGCTGGGTATACCTGCATTCCAGAGTTGATGTTCACTCTGGGACTCGAACCTAGTACCGTTCGTTTCAAACACTATCGCGTTACCCACTTAGCTACTGATCAGTTTCAGTCCTAAACATCAATGGTAAGATTCAAGTAAACAATACCAAGTGAATTTAAACTTCGCTCCATTGCACAAGCAAGTGGCTATCTGGACTCAGTAGCTAAGTGGATAACGCGATGGCGTTTGAAGCGAACGATACTGGGTTCGAGTCCCAGAGTAAACATTAACTCTTGAATGCAGGTACATCCAGCTACCAGGTCCCAAATAGGAAGAAACTCGAGTCCCGGATTCCACTGCTAGCCACTATCAATCTTAACCATATCTTCATTCTATGGATAACCCACGTTCACTTGACTGAAAATTTCTATAGTGTTGTTCATTACGTTACCCTTCTGAGAATTTCTATAATGGTATTCTGTCCTCATCCAACTTGCGTTTATGTGCTCACTTTAGAATCATGCATGTGTGACGTTTGAGAATACAACCTTTCTGTTAAAACTAAATTAAGTGTGTAACAGGATTTTTTCAAGTTGAATACTTATAATCTGATCAGCTTATGATCTTGGGATCCCCTATCTAAGATCGCTACTATTAAAAACTGTTTGTTTCGTCTCTTCTTTCACGAACAGTAATCAAAGCAGTTTTTATTATCCATTAATTTAAAGTCTGTGGGGTTTAATCAGTCTAGACACTTTCAAGCATTAGGATCGTGAATAGTTAGGGGAAAAGCTAGACCCAGTTGTGACGTTAAAACCTGTTAAGTTGTTGAGTTATTGGTTCGACGTATTAGGAATTATTTACTTCCTGAGTGAGGTGGTGTAAATGATGGAAATTATGCAGTCTAACTAGTGTAGTTTTGTGCGATTTACCCCATTATTTGTCATATTTTTTTTAGAAATTAATTTTCAGTTTAGTTTCTTTTTTCCAACTCTAGATTCAAAGCAATTTAGAGAAAGGCTTTAGAGAGGATGGTTCGATAAGTGAACCAGATCTTGTTTACCGACAAGGTATGAATATTTTATACTACAATGAACTGTATATATGTATATATCGTCATATATTATACTCAGCTATGATACTATATATTGATTGTGATTTATAGTCACCTGTCACATTATTGTAAAACAGTTTTTAATGGATTCAAGAGTGTGGTAATTATCCTATTGATTTATGTACAATCTTGAAGCCAGTTTTCGTAACGGACTGACACATTACACCGGAGAATCAGCGAGAAACAATGGGAGAGATAAAAAAATCTTTCATCCGAGCTTCAAACTCCTTAATGGTGAGCACTAACGAGTGCACATGATCTTGAACTCAGGAACTCCAAGTTTTGCAGTGAACACTACCTTATTCACTTAATGAGTTAAATTTCAGTAGTCCATATTTTCAAACATTCTTATTTTTCGTTGTTTAATTGTTACTGTTATGTTATGACCTTACCATTCGAATTCATAGAGATTAAATTAAACAACAAATGTAAGTTATATCATAAATGGGCTCTAGTTATACAGTGACGATGATTTTTAACTTTGGCCTAACTACTCAACGATATTGTACTTCGAAATACAGCCTGGATCAAACTACGTGACAGAATAATCTGAGTTAGGTAAACTTCTACCTCATTGATCATCAGTTTAACTTGTAAATTTCTAATTAGGGCTCCTGTTGTCACTTGTGTACCATTAAAGAGTAATTGTCGAACTTTATCTCAGAATATGATTGTTTCCTTTTGTATCTAGCCTCATTAAATTTATGGACTGCTCGTAAAATTCGGGTACTTTCCAGCTGTTTATCAATATTTCTACATAAGTTAGATTATCAATCAGCACTAAATATAGTACGTCAATTAACACATCTATGCAGTGATAATCAGGTTGTGCTTAGAGGATTCTGTAGTTTACTTGGTCGTGTTCATTTGCAGGTAGGTGTTTTTTTTAATAAGGAGAGCATTTGCAGTATCGACTCTGCCTACCATTAGGACTGTTGTACTGAGGGTTAAGCAGCTTTAGCTATAATCTCATTCAAAAATGGGCAAATAGAGTAGTTGCTTTTGAAATTGATTGGAATGTTCCGAAAGCCCACTATATTCTCGAATAAAAGACAGGAAAGATTGAGAAACGTCATTTATTACTGACTTATTTTGATTAAGGCATACTACAGCCTTTTGACATTCTTATCACAAAACGCTCGTTGTTAAATTGTCTCCAGATTTCAGATTCTCATAACCCTAGGAATGTCCCGCCAACATGACATGCTAAATGAAGATTGGTGATAAATAAATTAGTAGAAAATAAAAGGGCTCTTAGCTCTATGAGGAGATCTGCAACCTTAAAATGATAAGCGCCATGAAATAACCCAGCTGTAGAAAAAACCCTATTTATTCTAGTTAAGTAAAACGTTTTTATTAAATCGTTTCTTCTATATCTTGGTTGACGGAAGTGGGACCCAGATACTCAGAACAAAGGTACATTTAACTGGCATTTGTTCAAAACAAAAACAAAGAACAGATGTTTCAACTATCATAAATACGTTCCAAGCATTACAGAATCCAGTACTATGTGGTGTCTGCCATATGATACGTTTAAACTTACTTTTTGAAGATCAGCCATTGAATAGATACAGTTTTAACCATTTCTTCTAAGATATGTTGGTTAAATTGTTCACTTATGCCCTTGTGTTATTATAGTAGTTTGTGAAATAATTTACCTTCTATACTGAGCGATCCAGCTATGGTAACTTGCTAAAGTGAATCACACTTTTTATCAGCATCTTTCCATTACCCATAAGGATGATAAAGAATTCTCTTCATATTTACTATTGTTATATATAGTATGTTGTCACTAATCGGTTAGTCTTCTATTGTGATTAGCCTGACATTTTCAGTTGTCTGAATGTTTCTCATATTCCACTTGTGTAACATACATCACTATTCCATGTTCATGAGCTAAAACAAGTAAACAAAAACCACATCTTTTCTCAACTACTAATTCACGTCTTAAAAACATTAATCCATAATGATGTAAACTTGTCTCATTTAGGCGATAGTAGGTCCAGTCTTCACTGATGGACATTAGTTTAAAGATTAACGAATTCGTATCAAGTAATACAAAGAAATGTTTTTTGTTCAGAAAATGTTCATTGTTATTTACAAATGATCACACATATAAGTCAATAATTGGTTCTCATACAATGTTCTTCCATTTTTACGCCTTGTTTTCTTCATGTTTTATTAGTTTGGGGATTTGCAAACGGCTAAAGCACTTTTCGACAGATCGTTACCTAGTGCGGAATTTCCACTGGACTATAAACTTCAATTACTGATTCTACAGAATTTTCATAAGTAAATTTTCTGATATTTATCAATGAAGCCTTATCGTGTCCATTTATTTCTTCCTTGCACACTGCTTGAACATATTGCAGACACTTGTTTACTACATTCTCAATGACCCTATCTATCATTGGCCAGTATACATAGCTGAGTGATAACATATTCATGTGTCCCACGCCAGGATGACATTGGTGGAGTTGCTTTAATACTTGCCATCTGAGGGTGGTCTGGACAGCTAGACGCCCTCCAAACAGCGAGCATGAATTGGTAATAGATAATGCATCACGCCGTCGAAAATTCTCTAATAAATCATTGTTGACTTTGTTTACTCGACCATCGTGCACTTAACGCACCTGCTATAGTTCACAATCTGCCAGTGTAGCATCGAGCATATTCACCGTTACTAGCAAGACACAGGTCAAATGTGATACAACTCGGTTTACTTCTGCTTCAACTAATATTGCGGCAACAACACAACTTTTATCGACGGGTCTATTAGTTTTGATAATCCGTCAGTCTGTCCAAGACTGGTCGTTGACGTATATTTTATAGTAAAATTATTACTAAGAAAAAATGTAGTCTACCACTGGAATGCATTGTGTGAACCAGATTGATAGAACAGGCTTATGAAATGTCACCCATAGATAATACAAAACTTTTCGACTGAAAAAAATGATTACTAGTATTTATTCTATTTGGCTGTTTTTTTCGGATGCATAATCAATATCCTTTGGGTAGATATCCTGGGAAATGTGAAAAATACCAGCTTTGAGTCCCCAGTTCGATGCATTTGAGGCAACAATTATTTCGAAGTTAGGGCTAAAGTATTTTAGAAGCATATTGATTGGCAGCACTTCCTTAATATATTTAATGGTGTTTTGACACTAAGGAGACCAGTTCCATTTCGTCTCTTCGCTCAAGAGTTTATTAAGCGATGCATAATGATTAACTGATCCCATGAATGGGTGTAAGGAGTTAAGACCGAATGATGATGTTCTTTGCTTTACAGATTTAATATTCTCCGGATCACATCATTTTTCGTTGCGATTGATTGGTGGAAAAGTTACGTTTATCTTGTTTTAGTTTAGAACCATTATCTTTAATATGTAAGAGTACCATATCCAGACGGTTAAATAATTCTGCGGTTGTACCAAAAATTATAATATCATTCCCGTAAGCTAAAGATACCTGATATATCTGTATGCATTACATCCACAATTCGCTGAAAAGTGCCGAGGTCTCACTTGACTTCAAATGGAAGGCGAGCATAATGACATAGACCTCAATGTGCATTAATTGTAATTGATTTTCAGGATGATTCATCTACCTCGATCTGTAGATATGTATCAGCTAGGTCAATCTTGGCAAAGGATCTGCCTCAGTTCACGTTAAAAATCCTCTTGGACTTCTGTTGAAACTACACAGTTATAAACATTCGATATGCGGGTTGTAAAAAAAATACAATTAAGCATTTTTATAAAATTCATGAATATGTACGTGTATCTACCAATTAGAACCACAGTTAATTGGATAGCACTAGACTGATTAAATGAAATAACAATTTGGCTGAGCTAATTATACAACAGTACTGTTTATGACCCATTACATGAAAAGTTTGAACTTTCCTATTCGCTACTTTTTACGACAACATGCATGTCAAACTTGACGTGGTGAATAAATCAGAGTATAAAGTATGGATATCCAGATAAAAATTTACAATTTAAGCGTGCGTTGGAAAATTTTGTTGTAGTTTTGTATTTGAAAGTCTATTGGTTTGATGGTTCTTTGTTATTCTAATATTTATACCAGTCTATATCATTTCTTAATTCATTCTCACTCAGTATTGTCCATCCAGATCTCAACTTTTCAGTCCTCTATCAACATTGTGAAGCTTTTTCCTCAGCCGTTTTCTGTACTAGTAACTTTAGGCTCATAAAACTGGTGTTTACTATCTTTGCTGCTATCATCCGTGGAAGCGTAACGTTGCACGAGATTCATTATTTTTTTCCCGTTTTGTTTCATAACAGGCATCGATGATCCAGGTTCCTAGGATTTCTTATTCCATGCTCACTTTTTGTGCTTCTTTGAAGATTATTAGTACAACCATCTATATGTGTAGCACGTTTTTTCCTTCATTACTATAATACAGCTTCATCTCTCACGACACATATCTCTGTACAGATTATGCCCAATAGGTTTCACTTATTCTAAGGAGAGCCAATTTCTATCTCATGATTTCCGTCACTGTTTGAGTGATCATTACGGTCTTCCACACTGTTATTATATTTTTATCTGTATGTTTATTGTTGACCTGGTTATTAAAAAAGTCGTCGACCCATTAGTTTCCGAAGAGTCTCAGCTTTTACCCTAAGACGTAATAATTCTTCTGTATAAATACTCTTCAGTGTTAAGTTTAATTGGATTACATATTTTTCTGATTAGCTTCCTTATAGTGAGATTCTGGTTTACAAAGTGAGATTTCTAACTTAACACTCAACACTTTTTATTTACTCAGACTTTGAATCATGAATAACGCTTGACGGGCTTCAGGCGATGTTAATTTATACTTTAGATAATTGCTGTAAAGTATATATTTCTCTTCGTTAAATAGCCATACGATGGTGGTATATATTTATTTTTTAGTGCGTTGTTATCGATTGGTAAAGGGGAATATGAAGAAGCGAGAACGTTCTTTGAAACTGTTCTACGATTAGATCCTACAAATGTGGCAGTGAGTGCCTGTTTTCGTTTATTTTTATCTTTTTCATTTGATACTTGTGTTATAGTAAAACCCACAATGCGTGTTTCTTCTTGTTTGAGACTCTCCAGCAGAATTTACGTTAAACCATAGTAAGTTGTTGTTATCCTTACTGAGGCCCAAACGTAGTACCCATGACTTTAAAAATTAAAGCTTTGGGATAGATAAACTAGAATAAATCATGTAGATACGGTTAAATAATTCACTTGTTTGAGCGTTCGTTGAGACTATAATTTATTGACGACCTTTGAGCGACGCCAAAGTGACCTTGAGGATGTCCAACTATTAACTAGAACTAAATGACGGTTATAAACCAGTGTGAGGAATTAGATTTAGAGTTTTCATCACGAACTGACATAAGCTGAAATACCAAAACTCTATTTAGCCAAATAGATGGACGAATTATGCGCCACAATCCAAGACCTGTTGTCCCAAATCTGTGTGTCTAAAGTCATGTGACTGAAATTCCTCCGACGAAATATATCATTTTGCTAATTAATAAAAACTAAACTAATTCATCATCTTGAACAATTTTTACTGTTTTCATATTTACTTACGCATCTAAAGGATGTTATTGTCCTGAGAGACCAATTAAAGAGAATAAATCAGTGATTTGGTATCCTAGGTTATATGTGCGATCTTTTACGTTGATAAATATAAAGTTTTTATGACAAACTTAGGAGTCCTTTGAAGTACACATCAACAAGACATCGCGGCATCGAAGACAGAGCTCTCTAGTCTATGATACTTTCATATCAGCTACTGAACACTGCGGTTCACATTTGGGAACTCAGTTAATTGATTGGTATGCATCTAGCTTCCGCATCAGTAGAAACTAGGACACATCCAAACTTCACTCTCCGTAGTTTTTCAAATCTCATGGATGAGTGCCACTGTACTTCAAACCATATTGTGGTAGTAAATGTGTTTTCACTTTTATGGAAAACACATTAAGTCAGACTTGTGTTAATTGTCAATTTCGTACTATGTGAAAGTATAAATCTGCAATAAAGATAAATATTTCTTAGGGAAGACTCTAAGTCATGTAACCTGTGAGTAAAACCACGTATCTGATGTCTAAAGACTTGTGTTTTCTGGACCATTGTGTTTTAAATTAGCATCAACAGGACACTGTCATCGTACCAAACTGATTCCGTGATTGTTTATGACGACCAAATTTCACTCCTCTGCTGTTTAGAACATTTATAGTAAAAATGGCATAGATCTGTCGTTAATTCAGTAATCTTATGCAAATTATTAAAACGAAAACTCATGTGGCTAGACCTATAATTGACAGTATGGTCTTTCCATAACCGCAGCTCCTACTTTTCCAGACAGGTTGTTTGGAGAACGGTAAGACTAAAAGCAGCAAACTCAGCTGTGTGGATGAAGTTGTTCTACCGACTCTATAAGAGTGTGGTAGAAGTTATTTGTTCCTCCAGAACAGCCAGTATCTACAGCGAGTCAATGAACATGATAAAAGTGTACATATATATACATAGTGAAATGAATTAATCATCGAATCAATTAAGCGACTAATAGTAAGGCTAGCAGAATGAATATATATGCGTAGGCAGTAAGCAATGTTCAGGCATACATATTCATACAAGTGCAACAATAATAAAGGTACAATTATATAAGTTTTTATAGTACGGATGACTCTGTCCGTTAAATAAGTTAACAAAAGGGCTTAATCAAATTAAATGTGAACGAACTCAATTGCACGTGAGCTGCTATATCCTTAAATATAACCCTTCTCACTTATCTTTATCACTACGTGCCACCAATGCTAATGATTTGAGTTAACGAAATGTTGATCTTGGTTTCTAGAAGCCGGTCTTTAGATCACATGTTGGAGCTCTTGATGTTCGGACCCTGTGTTAGATAGAACAACAAGCTTCCTTGTCTAGGACTCCTGAACCCTGCGCAATCGATGTACGCCGCGACTCCATTGCTACTTCCTATGAACTAACTGGTGTAGGTATAGCATTAAGTTGAAAAGTAGAACAGACTCTACTAGACTGGTGGTCTGTCTGACTGAGCAGGATAGTCGGGACTCTGAAAGATAAGAAGATATCACACTTTCCTCGTCATCTTTGCCTACGACCCCACTAATCACAGCTCGGATGAAATAAAAGACGAATTTTATTAGAAGCTTTCTAGACTCCGTCAAAAATCTAAACGCTTGGATATAGTGATAGTGGTAGGTGATTTTGTACCGAAATATGTAAACTTAAGCAAACTGAAAAGCACTTACGATGCCGCGTCTCAGCACACTGATAATGGTGACTGCCTGCTGTCATTGTGCTCAGATAGCCGTTTTTCGGCAAGCACAAACTTTAATTATAAGGAAAAGCATCATCTGAATTTGCGACCCATATAATTGACTCAACAATTGACTTAAATTGCCGCCCACGTTGCCGTTAGCCATCGTTGAAGAGGCTCGATATAAGACTCACCCATTCTGGAGCATGCATTGTCCACGTCTTCAGTCAGTAACAACGTAGAACTTCGTACGTACGTACATCAGTTCTAGTTGTCATACCTTATTAGCACAGAGATGCAGTTTTCGATAGCGAAACTATCTCGGAAAATGATGGTAGTACTACTCACTCTCAGTTTACGAGCCTGGACCGATGGACATAACACTTTAGGAAACAGTTTAATTGGCTTTCAACCGCATTTCAGTTAGCCACTGTATCCTAACGATCTTACTGGCGAATTGATGCAAGTCCTCCAACACTTAATGAAACAATAAGCAATCTATAACAAGCGGAAGCCCGATAGACTAGCGTGAGATTTTTAGGGATGGTGGTCCAGTCTTAGCAGTCAAATGATCTGAGCCCTTAACTAAAATCTGTGAATTGTGCGTAATCTCATCTGACAGGTTTCGATCGCAGATCGTCCCAATTTAAAAGAAAGGAAAAATCCTTTTGTGACAATTACAGCAAAATCAGTTTGACTAATTTAATGTCTATAATATTATCTACAATGATACTTTGACGCCTAACTAGAGCTTATAAAGAGCGAATGTGATAAAGTTAGACTGGTTTCAGACGTAGACCTCGATTTATAGACAATACTCAACCTTCAGCAGATTCTTGACACATAGATATAGTTTTCGATGTCCGACTACAGTTGTGTTCCTTTATATTATGGTGGAGTTCTACTCTGCAGATCGTGATATTCTATGCCAACCTCTGTCACTGACAAACGTACCGAATAGACAGTTCTCTACTCGATCACTACTGGTCAAGTTAGAACTTACGTCGAACTTTGATATACCAAGATTGCTAGGTGATTTGGGCTATGAAAATGGCGTAAAGCTGTTAGATAGGTGGAGAGAAATCATAGCGTATACATGTCTGTATACGAGTAAACTTTAATACTATGTAACAAATATTTGTTGTTTCCCTTTCCTATAAGCCCCAGTATCATTAACACTAAAACAAGAACTAGAAACTGTATAAGCACATTGATAACTAAGTAGTCAAATAAAAGGGCTAATCGGAGGAAATTCCGTGAAAAAAATAGGAAAGATTGAGTGAGTAAACCAAACATATAATGGTGACTGGTTGCTGCAGCTATCCTCGGACAATTGTTTATTTCTAGCAAGCACCAACTATGAGCACAATATACGCATTCGTCTGATACAGCAACCGACTCAACGGTAGACCCGAATAGAATACATTGCAATCAGCCTCTGTTAGAGAAGCTCAATAGAAGACCGACTCATTCTGAAGCATATATTTGGACTGATGTACATATATCCAACGTTTTACACTGCATTTGCCGGACTGACTGTGCCACTTGTTTTCAATCAATAAAGCTACGTTCGAAATAGATCGATCGAATGTAGGAAGCTTCCAGCATGTGTTCCTGCTAGTTGACAGTGATCGATAATTTTATTGACCATTACTTTCTATATGCCGATTTTAACGTTGTACGATGGCATCCAAGTAATCATTTGGCCTCAAAGAAATGGATATACATTTCTTCTACTAAATTGCTGTTTTCAATCAGTCTCATCACCTTAGGTGAATATATAAATAGTTTATAAAATTGACATTCCCATTTAAAGTCGAAAATTGAAGTTAACAGTCACTTTACCGTAAGTTGTCTGTGTTCAGTTTTTTGCTATACAATCTTCCTCATTTCATTCATATACCACAATTCAGGCGGCCAATAATTTAGCTATTTGTTCTTTATATGTTGGACGACTATCAGAATCAATTAAAGTGTTGGAGAATCTAACAACAACTGGACTAACTAGTCAACCAATAAACAATTCAGACGTTATTACAACTGCTTCAACAACTACAGGATTTTCTACACCATTCACGTTCAATGCACGATGTCGTCGATTTTGTCTACATGATGTAATGATTTCAAATTTAGCTGTATTATATGAGGTAGAATCAGATCTGGCCACATTGAAAAAAGTTAACTTACTGAAAAAGTTGATTGAAATATCTGGCGAACCAGTGCACATATCATCATTTAAATTATCTATGAAGCAATAAACTAATAATTAGTATGTAATAACAAATACCTTTCATTCTAAATCACTTGAATAAAAAAGAACATTAATTTGATTGATGCCTATAAAAACATATTGTTAAAACTAACCTCCAAAATTATATCTCATATTAGAACACAATAATCCACTGTTTTGGTTTTACTTACTTACACCTGTTACTCGTGGAGGAGCATAGGCCGCTCAACAACATTCTCCATCCAACTCTGTCCTGGGTAACCCCTTCCCAGTTATATATCCAGTATCTATTCGTTCTTTAGATGTCTGCCTCCGATTCCTGACTCAATGTGTTCTTTGGTCTTCGTCTTTTCCGACTTAATAATATTGTCGAATTTTTACCACTAGAATAAGAGACAATTTTGAACGCACAATGGATGTTAGACAAATAGAAACGATAAAGCAGTTAGTATTATCTTATGAATTAAAAGAACATGAAGTTCAGTGAATGGATTTATCATGTAAAATCGTATATGTGTAAAAAAAACTTGCAAGATTAAGGACGTATGAGCAAAGAATACATATGATGATGTAATAGAAAAGTTATAATACTGGATTATATAATGTAAGCAGTAAAGATCTAAGATTGTGTATGCAAATAGAAAGGCTTGCACGTTAACATTAGATTTTAATCTGAAAGGAGTAAGATAATTAAAACGTTCGTGTTACTATAATTAAAAGTAATAGCGGGGTTAAATGAAATGATGTTAGAAACAATTATCGATATGAGAAAACACTAAAGAACGAGAATATTATCAAATACGAAATATAATAATGATCGTAGTTATCGATTTTTATAGCTGTTATGACTTTATGTCCGGCTTTTTATCACGTGATTTATGCACCAATCAAAATACGACTTACACAATCTCAGCACTGTGCCTAACCAATGACGTTCGACCGGTATGAGCAGCCTAGCGTCCTTATTGGTCCTATGTTCACCTAGCCCGTCTAGTTGAGTCCAGAACAACAATACCAGCTTCCACTATGCGAATCACATATTTCAAACATACTGTGTTTATATATCAAACAAACAGACCGCAATGCACCATACAATAGGAAATAACATTTGTGCGCAATAAAGCCAAAAAGTTGCTGCGAAGGTGGGAGGCATAATTTAGGGACAGTAAATCGTATAATAATAAACTATGGGTCAAAATGAAGCTTATAATAAGAGGGATATAAATATACATAATCTAACTATTGAATAATTATACATTAATAGTCCTCAGAAGTTACCTGTAATTTAATCTCCTCTAGGATATAACAATAGCAACTGGCCCACAGTCGATGACCTAAGACAGGACGAAACTTCCATAATCGATAAGCCTCAGAGTAAATTGGGAAAACGTACACAAAATGGGAATAAAAAAGTGTTAAGTAGCTAAATGTGAATCATAACGAAATATTTGTGAATATCGTTTGTGCGAATAGTAAATTCATTGTGTGGACTAGGATGCCTGTGCGCCCAGATCGACGCAGATGGTATATTTAAAGTTACCACGTGGTCCATCGATTAAAATTTAATCCTCAGGCAGAGGCAAACATCAAGGGGATTCATTCCCTTGATAGCTGATAACCAAAATACGTTCCTAAACAATGTGTTTATATGCACGACTGTTTCGTAAACAGGACCTCTTAACCCCTTAGACTGATCGTTCGTACCAGTCCAGGTAAAAGTCTGAATGTTTACTCCTTATCCGCTCATTTTGGCAAACAACACCCCAACCGGGAGAAGACAATGAGAATCCTCTAGCTTATGCTATATATATGTGGCTCTATGAGAGCATTTCGAGAGGGAAAGCAAATACCCCATCCCAGATCATAGTATAAATCTGACTCCTCAAAGATGTTACGTCTTCTGGCCATGCATAGTGTTCGAATTCTTGTCTAACTGCTGAAACGCTAGATCCTCTATAAAATAATAATAATAGTGAGGAAAGATGAGTCAGAGTTCCTGTTTTCCAGCTGATGATTCAAAATGCTAAGTTAGTGATAATGGAAGTCACAATGTCGAACCATTCAGACCTAAACTCAACGGCTCATGTGCTGACGCTTCCCACAGTCCTGCACAAACACGTAGACGACATAATGAGACCTTCAATCTTCCCAAAATGTTTTGGTATTCAAAATATTACACCACCAACCAGTTTCGATTCTCAGTTGTACGCCCATGTCAGCACAGATTCTCAAAGACTGCTTCCTTCCCTACAGAATTCTCTAACAAAACTTTCCAAACTCCCTTCACAATGTACCTTCAGCCTGGAAAATAAACTAAAGCCTGATGACGATCTAATTGAAAACAATTGTTCGCTTGTATGTGTTGTTCTAATTTTCACAATTGGAATCTTTGATATTCAAAATTACATTTGTTGAGTCCAAGCTTACACTTCAAGAGGAGCAGTAACAATGTTTTTTATTATAGACACTAAGCTGTAATTTATTAATTGAAAAGCAGTTTTCTCGTGGCCACTATTGAAGTGGAACCTTGGGAAATTCATTGGTTTTATGAATTGAGGCGTACTCAAAGGCCCATTATTGTTTGTCCGTGTATCAGTCGCAACATGCTCGTTATTATATATATTTCCTTGTGACTCCGTCACTAACCTGTTTCATATTAAAGAATCGAATCTCCAGTTGTAATAAAAATAATATATTACTTTTATTTTCAATAAGTCCCTTAATGGGGGAAATACAAGTATTCAGAAGACTTTTCGCCTCTAGAGGACAGTAAAAACAGTGGATGGTCACATGATAGTTTATAAAATGAATCCAGTTTCAAACTATCTAAAAAAAGATATGCTCAATCAGTTCAAATCACTTATATTGTAATGACGTTTAGGCCACCCATTTGACTTTACAACTGAATCACTGACTTACTATGAATTATATTTGACGAAAGTTTGGATGGCAACCAAGAAAACATCTTCAGCTTCACTTTACTAACTATAGAAATACTTTTCAAACCCAACAGGGTAAGCTATTGGTTGACAATCAATACGAAGTGAAACATTCAAGGGACATGAACAAGATTTGTTGATCGATTACATCGAGTGAGCAGTGAGCTACAACGTAGGACGAAGCACATATGTGCAACAGTCCAAGTTGCCATACCTCATTAGCACAACAAGATGAACACCAAATTCATAGTAGTTAATTCAATCGTGGTAATATATAAAAGGATTGAATATAAGGATATATTACAGAATGAAAGACATAAAGCAATTTTATTCTCATAGTTTAAGGGAAGACAGAAAGTGTATACACCTACCCCATTGTGATCGATTCTGAGCCATGTCACCCAGTCTCCAAACATTGGTTACGATAGTCACGCGAACCCCAACTGAGTAGTTTGCATCTACCAACATGACTAAGACTAGGAGTTAGTGACTTCAAGCACTGATGCCGCGTTTTGGTTTGGCTGCACTTAACTTCTTTTCAACCATCGCCAACACTAGTCAGCATTGAGCGTCATGGTAATTGGTGTTCAGGCATACACAACACGTGGCCCAAGCATCATTCCCAAATACCCTGCAGCTAACCCCACTATTATTTACCCGGTGATTACAGATGTGAGCAATATTCCTATTCAAATACTAGTAGCTTACGAATATCTTCTACCCTTAAAGACCACCTTTCGCAGCGGTAAAGTAAAACAGAACGAACTGCCGCGCAGTATACTCGTCCCTTAGTTGATAGACGGACTGAGCTGTGATAATTTATAAAATAGATTACTACTCACTTAATAGTCACAGCCGTCAAGAAAATGGCAAAACGATGAGTGGTTAGTTCTTACTTATGATCTCATACCTGACAAGCATGTGTACCCAGTCGCGGGAAATTTATTCTTGTGCAAAATCAATAAATCCAGACAGAATCATATTCCATTGAAATTTTAAGTCATTAATAGTCCATACATCCTGGCTGGTAATATGAGGGTGATATTATTGTTTTATTCTGGATGTTTCAATGTGTTAAATGCGGTAAACTGTGGTGGTTAAATAACATCTAAGGTTCTGAACGAAATCGCGAAGTATTGAGTCTCCAAATTCTTGGTTAAACTTAGTTAAAATATCTGCATCTCAGTGAAATCCGTTATCAAAAACCATTGATTTAGATCACACTTTCTAAACACACTGACTCCCACAAAGATTAACATCTGAGATATACGGAATACACAAATCACGTTAGAACCTGACGACTATACAGTATTTGGGAGTTAAGGTGGACCATTACAATTAATTTCGACCGCAGCAGCGGAATTGAGATACATCTTGTGACAATCACAGAAGAATTAGTTTGACTAGTATAGAGTCTGAAACATAATCCCCAACAGTACTTCCATGTCTAACTAGAGCTCATGAAGAGCAAATCTGAGAAAACATGGGTGGTTTCAGACCCGGATGTGTAGACTAAATACTCAAAGTCCGTCTGGTCATGAAACACGGATATATCTTCCGATGTCCGACTACAGGCGTGTCCTTTGACCTTGAGTCGACGTCCGACCCCGTTGATCGTGAGGTCTTGTGGCAGTCTCTGTCATTAAAAGCCGTACCAAGAAAGTACATTAACCCTTTTGAAGCCCTACTCGAACAGTATTGATTGAGTCGGAGTTTGTGGAGAACTTTCGTCGGAATCGGTTACTGCAAGTGGTGTTTGTCAGGGTTGCCCGATTTACCCATTTTGTCATAGACATGCCTTTGGAAATAACACTTCCATCGTCTGGCTTTTCAGGGATAGAACTCCTACCAGATGATGTAGTTCCGTTTGATGAAGACGCTAACAAACTAGTCTTTTGACCATACTAAGCAACAATCCAGACATCTTTGGGATGCGGCTGTCCCCATCCAGATGCAAAATGTCGCCCCGAGATTACTTTGCCGCGGTGTCTGAATAAATCATAGTGAGTAAGTTTGTTGAGCGCATCGACCACTTCACTTAAGTCTCACCGGTTCTCTTCAGAGACATGAATAGCATGGCTCAAAATCA